GTCTGCGCTGGAGCTGCGGCGGCCAGGACAGGCGGTGAGGCTGCGGGTGCTGGGATGGGAAGCTGTGTTTGGGAATGAGCCCGACCCTCCCGGGCTCTGGGGGCCTGCTCCTTGGCTCTGGTGCTGGCACGGGAACAATACATCCACATCCACAGGAAACAGGAGGGGCAGAGGGAGCCTCAGCGTTACCACAGTTGAAACTGGGATTGAATGTTACATTGGTTGAGAAGTGAGAGAGCAGGCAGTGATTTGGCTTGTTTGGAGCCAGTGAGTAAAAGGAAGTGTAAGCACTTGAAAACACTTAAAAGAATTTCAAGTTTTCATAGAAAGGTTCGTGAAGAGGGACAGTTACACAGATGTAGGTATTCTAGATTAAAATCAAGACCTTAAATTTATTATTACTATTGAATGCCACTGAAAAAAGCCCCCTAGTTGTACTTTTTCTGTGCATTACTACCTCCTGTACCATCTTCTCCCCATGCTGGCACCACTGTTGATACAGGGGAGTGGGGGACGAGTGGCATGGAGCATTACCCGCAGACTCAAAATGACCTTTTAAACACTTTTTCTGATTAACCTAGTTAGTAATCACGTCTGTTTCCCTCCACTGCCGTATGAATGCTTATACTGGCACAAGGAAATGTGGTTGGGAAGGAAAGAGCTTTATTTAGTTGTACATAAGTGAGTAGGTATGTGTGTAGAATCCCTGTTTTTAATGTACATGTGTGTATTATGCACACAGACACACAGCTGTCTACAGGGATTATGCAGCTGGGAGGTTGAACATTCTAGCCCTTGTGTTGACCAGAGGGCGTGCCATTGATAAAGCAGTTGTGGGGGAGGTTTACAAGTGCAATAGGTGATGAAATAGGTGATGAGCAGTCTGAGGAGACTTACCTAGTAAAGGTGACTGTGATTGCAAGAGTAGTTCTTGCTGAACCAGGGGAGTGAGATTAGAAGCCAGAAAAGAGGGGGCAGGGAACTTGTGGGAACTAGAAGATATCAGGAAATCCCTGGATGACACTTGGATTATCCTTTTCTCACACAAGTTCATCTAGAAATTTGTGCCCACCTGGTGTACTCAAAACAGCAAAGCATTGCGTGTGGTTGTATTACATGCAAGTGCTGATATTATAACTTGGTGATACCAGTTTTCTTTTGAGAGAAGTGGATAGTTACGCACTGAGTAACTGTACTAACAGTGTCATTTCCAGAAACACAAATGGAGAACTGAAGTTTTGAAGTTAGCTTTAATTCAGTCTCTTCATACATCTAGATCGAACTACAGTTTTCTATTAAATAATAACATATTGTTCCTTGCATAAAAAATCCTGTTGTACACAGGCTATTAAAGAGATGAAGTATTTTGGTCTCATCCTTCTTACTTTGGCTGTGTGATGTTGAGACATTTACTCAACGTGACTCAAATCAGCATCAAATTCAGCTTTGACTATGGAATTGCAAATTTCTTTGTATCTTCTGTTGTGCTTGTCACCTTAGTATCTCAGTAGTCAACTAATTCCCCCTTTAATTGACAAAACTCTCCTAAGACAGGAAAATCATCCTCCCATTTCATATAAAGACTGAAAGATAAAACTATGGAGGCCAAATGTGGTCCAGGTAGGATCTGATTTTTTTCAGGGTAGTGAGTTTGGTTGTCCTCATTTATGTTAAGTGCACAGGTGCAAATAAATTGAATGTCTATTCTAAACCTATTCTGCTTTTGCAAATCAAGCAGTCAAATTTTGGGAGATGCAAAATAAAATGTGCGTAGTTGGTGTCCACATTGCAACAGCATTTTTAGGTAATTTATCTGGAGTCATGAATAAATTCTGTGGCAAAAAGCAGGATAAAACATACTTCAGGACAGTGCTAACTTACTTCAGACTACAGCAGTGTGAACCATTTTTGTTTGCTCTGTCATTTTAAACAGTTCCCTTTTCCTGTGATCCTCTTGTCCATCACTTTGTTCTGCCTGCTGCTGTGACCTCCCTCACTTGATAGTGTAACCATTTCCATATTCTTTTGGTGAGGCAGATCACAGGATCAATCAGATTGAAAACAAAGACTTATCTGACTTGATTTTGGCTTTTACCTGGCTCTTAGAAACAGCTGGACAGGCAGGGAACAAGAGATGTGCTTAGCAGCACTTACCCCAGGTATGAGTACTGGGGAAAAACTAGCCCATTTTGCCCCTCTGCTTCCCTCTTCCATTATTCCAGTGAATTTTACGTGTAATTTCTTCCCATTTACTCAAAAAATTACACCAGATTCCTATAGGCAAGAATTCTAATTTTTTTTGCACCATTCTGTTAAGAGCTTTTGCTTTCAGTTTGTCAGCTCAATCCTGAATTTTGTTGCTCATTTGCATCTTGGTTTTTCATGAATTCTCTCTCATCAGCTGTGATTCCAGGATGCTGTCTGGTCTGGCTGGTGTTTCTTTAATGGTTGTTTTGTTTCAGCCTCCAAAGACAATCTACTTTCTTGCCTTCACCATTGCTTCCTCTCCTCTTCCACATTATAAACAAAAGCACTTGCAGGGTGCAGTAGAGAACCCTACAGAGCTGGCAAGGGAGTGGCCTGAATGACCTAATCTCGTCTGTTCTCCTGCCAGCTGAGTTCAGATGTTGGTAACTATTTGACCTTTTAAAATCTAATCTGACCATTCCCAGTTCTTTCCTTGTTTACCTTTACTCGTTTTACTGATTCTTTTTAAGTAAAATTTGATACACATTTGTGAAATCTGAAGTACACTTATATTCTTCTCTTGCTGACACTTTTGATGGCACTGATTATCAAGTAATCTGTGTTTTAATCAAGGTTGCTGAATACTATTACTAGAATAGCTACATTTCAAAATCAAAGCCTGTCTTCATACTGACAGTTAAAGAAATTCCATGCTAACCACCTAAAATCACACCATGGATGTTGGCTTGCTAAGAAAACACATCTGTTGAGAGTTCTTTTGTGCCTATTTCAGGCTGTTGCTTATTTTTAATAATACATAATCACTATGTAAAATAACTTTAAAGAAAAGTTAGGCATCTGTTCAGAACTACATTTATAAAATCAAACAAGAAATACATTTGCACAGCCCAGTATACTGGAGTTAGCATCCAGGGCTGATATGCATGCTGTGGTAGCACAAGAGTTGGCCATTTTCAAACCAGGAATGCTGCTTTGTGTAAGTAGATTAGTTTTTTGACCATAGCTGTCTTTGGATGAGGGAGAGAGACTATCCTGCCGTTACATCTTAAAAGATTTTTGTGATCCCTCACATTTTACACATTTGCATTTTACTTGCTCAGTGAAGTGTTTCATTAAAAGTGTTTGAATCAGCCTTCTCTGTTTCTTCTGAAGTTCCTTTTGAAAGCTGGCATCTCATATTTGAAGATCACACACTTAACATACTTCCAATTTTTCATCTTAGTGGCCAGTCTGTATGAATATGATTACTCCAAGAGTGGTCAAATTAAGTGACACTAAAATCCAGAGGCACCATGTGAAGTGTGGGACAGGAGTAATTGTCATACATAAAACTTAATTCCAGTGAAGTATTCATTTTGTCACATGAAACTGCAGAAAACTGTATTTGCTAGAACTTCAGGGTGGGTCAGATTATTTTGTTTGTATGTTTACACCAAGAATGGTGGTAATTCTGGATATTCCTGTTTTGCTGAGTTCTTTGTTTTCCTGTAGTATAACAATGGATGGACCAGTTTCAAGATTCACTTTACAGCAATTCTTCATTAAAATTCTAATCACTAAATTAACTGTTTAATATAACTGTCTAAATTGTAATATTTATTATAATCAGCTGTATTTGTAAATGTTTCCTACTTGGCATTGAAGAATGACTCAGAAGGTGTGAATTTGTCGGCTCACTGGTGTGAAGGCAGTTTATGGAATCCTAGCAGGAAAATTCATAAATAGTGGCTTCATCAGACGTGAACTTTTGCACCCAGCTATTTCTCTGGGTTTATCAGTGAGCTGTTTACTAACCTTGTGTGTATCTTTCTGCTTTTATTTGCAGACTGTAACTCTTCAAGCTATTTACTAAATAAACCTAGGAGGAGAAACAACTTTCTGCTTTATCTTTCTGTCCCTAATCTCCATAGTCATGGCTATGGGGTATGGGGAAGGGTTAAATGAGGTTTCATTTGTTTCATTCAGTTTCAGAATTAGTTAAATCTCCTGCTGGTTTTCCTATAGATTTCTCCCATGGCAGCTGAAAGGAGCACAGTCTGTGATATTTGATTTCAGTACTGCTGAACACTTCTGAGTATCAGAAATGGAATGAACTCATTCTTTGCTGTTTGCTGCTGTTGGTTGTCAGAGCTGTGGGCAGCAGCAGCAAAATAAAGGCACGGCCTATTGGGTGTGCGGCTGCGTAAGCGGCTTAACCGATCTAAGCTTCTCCCACTGCCTGAAAACAGAAGTTCCTCCTTTTCCACTCCATCCTTGCTGGGTTTGGCATTTTGACTGCTTCCCTGGTGTTCTGCAGTCAACTGCAACAGGGACCTGATCAGTTCTATTTTGAAACAAGCAAGTAGGTGAAAAGGTGAACAAACTGGTCTTTTATAGAAGGGCCACTTAGGGTAAAGTGCCCAACTACAAGCTCATCAGATCTGCAGTTCTCAAAAATGGAAGTATCAAAGCACTTTCACTGTGGCTATTTGTTAGGAACTCTTGGCAAAGATTTGATCAAAGATTTCATCTCAGTGTAAGAGAAATTTTTTGCACTGAGCTCAATCATCACTGGAACAACCTCCCCAAGAACATGGGGGGGGGGGGGGGCCCC